AGAAGGAGAAGACGCGTGAGAGATAGGAAGAAATAAATGAGAGAGACGCGTGAGAGATAGGAAGAAAAAAATGAGAGAAAATACAGGAAAGGAAGATGGTGGTATAAAGAGACGAAAATTATTTTGCGAGAAAGAGAAGACAGAGAAGAAGGGAATGAGAAAGCGTAGAAAAGGAGATTTTAAAAAATAGAAAGACAAAAGATAATTGAAATTTGACGAAGAAACGAAACAAAAGAAACAAACAAGCCTGAGAAAGATCCAATAAAAAAACAATAATTAAAAATAACAACCAAACACAATTATACGACCCCCGAATATAAAACAAACAAGAAAATAGAAAAATGAGAGACAGAAAAAAAAAGAAATACACGATCGCCATTCTAAAAGAAAGGAAAATAAACAAAAACAAAACAAAACAAAACAAAAAACCTCCTTAGACCGGCCATGCTTTGTTCCTTGAAGGCTACCTCGACTGTCTTTATTCGACCTTCTTTATAGAAAGACAGACAGGGAGGGGTGTGGGTGGAGGGGAGGGGAGGGGGAGGGTGGAGGTGAGGAGGGAGGGGAGGGGAGGGAGGGAGGTGGAGTGGAGGGAGGGGGGTGGCAGAGGGGAGGGGCAGGTGGAGGGAGCTACTAGATGGAAAGAAAGGGAGGGGAGTGGAGGTTAGAGGAGGAGGGTGGGGGGGAGGTAGAGGGAAGGAAGGGTAGGTGAAGGATAGAGGAGGGAAGGGAGGGGGTGGAGGGTAGAGGGAGGGAGGGTAGAGGTAAGGAGGTAGGGGTGGAGGGTAGAGGAGGAAAGGGGGAGAGGGAGGGAGGGGTTAGTTAGAATAGGTAGCAGCGGAGGGTGGGGAGGAGATAGAGGAGGAGAGGGGTGGGGGGAGGGGGGGAGAGTTTTTCATTTGTCGTGGATGGTGTTCAACAAAAAGGTAATTTAGTAACGACTTAAGACTGCGGGCGGCCTTTTGTGTATTTTGCGGTTGCTCTTTTTTCAATGGATCTTTTGTGTTTTATGCGTTAATGATTTTTTTTTTTTTTTTTAAGATTATAAATGGCGGGTCGTTTGGTTATTCGCGTGAGGTTTGCATTCTCGCGTTTCCAGTTGTTGTTTTATGGGATATTATTTATTTGATTCTGAATTATTTTCTATGTGCCAAAAAGAAGAATCTGTATAATTACCGTATTTAGCAGTGCGACGTTGACAGATTCAGTTCCTTTTCCTCCCAATTAGACGAATTAGTCTCAATCAGTCGTCCCTTTTTCTCTATCAATTCAACTTCCCCATAATTTGGCGGGAAAAGAGTGGTGGTGTCCGAATGGCACCGCGTGGCTTCAGTATTTTTAACAGTTAGCGTTGACCTTTTGATTCGAATGCAACAGAAGAGGAAAGAGAGAGAGAGAGAGGGAGAGAGAGAGAGAGAGACAGAGACAGAGACAGAGAGACAGAGCGAGACAGAGAGACAGAGAGAGAGAGCGAGAAGACAGAGACAGACAGAGAAACAGAGAGAGAGAGAGAGAGAGACAGAGACAGAGACAGAGACAGAGAGAGAGAGACAGAGACAGAGAGAGAGAGAGGGCGCGCGCGGGCGGGATGACGTCACGTCCGCGAAATATAGGGATGATGTATTATTTCTCCTTATAAGGGATGATGTGGCGTGGCATTGGAAGCGGCGATGATGTAGTACTGTTTGTTGTTGCTTTTTTTTTTCTTTCATCTTTTTCTCTTTTTGGGTAGGGGTGGGGTAGGGGGGAGAAGTTGGACTACATAGGGTCAGGTTTATAGTGTGTGCGGCGCGTGTGTGGTTGTGTGTGTTGTGTGTGTGTGTGTGTGTGTGTGTGTGTGTGTGTGTGTGTGTGTGTGTGTGTGTGTGTGTGTGTGTGTGTGTGTGATTAGCCCACAACAGATACACTACGCCAGTATGAAATGTAAGAAGACACGAGAGAGAAGAGAGAAGAGAGAGAGAGAGAGAGAGAGAGAGAGAGAGAGAGAGAGAGAGAGAGAGAGAGAGAGAGAGAGAAAGAGAGAGAGAGAAAGAGAAAGAGAAAGAGAGAAAAACACGGACAAAAACGACAACGAATCCGCGAATAGGAGTGACAGTGATTATTCAATCGAGAAAGTGGACCAAGTGTGGTTTTATTATCCTCCACTCTACTCTTCCTCTTTATCATTTTTTCTTGCTCTTCCTTTTATAAATTTTCTTTCCCTTCTTCTCCTCCTGTTTATGCTTTTCATTTTTTCTCCTTTTATTACTTTTCCGTCTTTTCTCTTCTTTGACTTTTTTTTAATTTACTCTTCCTCCTTCCTCCTTATATTTACTCTTCCCCTTTCTCCTTCTATTTACTATGCCTCCTTTCTCCTTTCTATTTACTCTTCCTCCTTTCTCCCTTTTATTTACTCTTCCTCCTTTCTCCCTTTTATTTACTCTTCCTCCTTCTCCCTTAATTTACTCTTCCTCCTTTTTATTTACTCTTCCTCCTTTCTCCCTTTATTTACTCTTCCTCCTTTCTCCTTTTTATTTACTCTTCCTCCTTTCTCCTTCTACTTACTCTTCCTTCTTCCTCTGCCTTTTTTTCCTATTTCTCCTTTTGTTCATCCTTTCTCTTCCTCTTCTTCCTTCTTTTGGCTTCGTTGGAAATACTTTACGAAAATGAAGGGCGGGGGGGGGGAAGGGGGAGGGGGGCTTTGTTGTGATTGAAGGGTGGCTGTTTGTTTATTTGTTTGTTTTTTCTTTGTGTTTTGATTGTTGTTAATGCTAGGTGTATTGTTATTTTTTGCGGTTGTGAATTGTTGATATTGTTATTGTTATTAGTCTGTTATTATTCTCGTCATCATCACTATCATTTTCACTATCGCCATCATTGTCATTTAATTATCATCTATCATTATCTAGTATCATCACCACCATCATCATCATCACCACCACCACCACCACCACCACACCACCACCATCATCACCATCATTTCGACCTCAAAACCCCTCTCACCCACCCCCCTCCTCACTCCCCCTCCCCCGGCACTGTCAGTGGCACTGTCCTTGGCCCTCTCGCACACCGATCGTCGTAGTGCCATCCATTGTCTGTCGGTTAATTGATGATGAGTTGGGGAACGAGCGGCACTCATCGTCTACGCAAAGCCGGCACTCCTGTGGCACCGCGGCAGAGGTTCTTCTGTCGGTGCCACTTCGGTCTGTTGGCACTCTTTGGTTATTTTGTTAGCTTTTTTTTTTGTTTGTTTGTTTTCTTTTGTTTTTGGTTTTGTAGTGTTGATGTTTCGCCGGGTTTTCTTTAGTTTTCTCTCTCTCTCTCTCTTTCTCTCTCTCTCTCTCTCTCTCTCTCTCTCTCTCTCTTCTCTCTCTCTCTCTCTCTCTCTCTCTCTCTCTCCCTCCCTCCCTCCCCTCCTCCCTCCCTCCCTCCCTCCCTCTCTCCCTCTCTCCCTCTCTCCTCTCTCTCTCTCTCCTCTCTCTCTCTCTCTCTCTCTCTCTCTCTCTCTCTCTCTCTCTCTCGCTCTCGCTCTCGCTCTCGCTCTCTCTCTCTCTCTCTCTCTCTCTCTCTCTCTCTCTCTCTCTCTCTCTCTCTCTCTCTCTCTCTCTCCTCTCTCTCTCTCTCTCTCTCTCTTCCTTTTTTCCTCCCTCCAACCTCCTCCCTCTCCTTCCACCCCCTTCTCCCCCCTCACTACATCTCCTAGACGTATATTTTACCTCCATTTCCCTTTTTCATTTAATATTCTATTTCCCCTTTTCTGCCTTTCTCATTTTTTCACTTGGTTTATTTAATTATCTGTTTATTTTTCCTACGTGCACAACGCCACAGCTGACAGAGTAGTTCCAACCCCCGCCGCCAGATGCCACCGCTATTATGTCGTTCACGGTAATTTTTGAAGAGTGTTTCTTTCCGGTGTTCAGAAATAGGAGGGGAGGGGGAGGGGGAAGGGGAGGAGAGGAGGAGGGGAGGGGAAGGGGAAGGGAGGGAGGAGGAGGGAGAAGTGGAAGTGGAGTGGGAGGGAGGATAGGAAAGAGGCTTGAGGGAAGGGAAAGGAGGGGAGGGAACGGGAAGGGAAGGGGGAAGGGGGGTGGGAGGGAGGATGGGAGGGGGAGGGAAGGAGATGATGGGAAAGGAGGATTGGGGAAGGGGAAGGTGTAGGGAGGTAGGATGGGAAGGGGAGGGGATAGAGTAGGGTGGGATGGTGAGGGAAGAGAAGGATGGGGATAGTAGGGGGAAGGGAAAGGAGAGGGGAGGGGAGGGAGGATCGGGAAGATAGGTAGCAGGAGAAGGAGAGGGATAAGGAAGCGAGGAATAGAAGGGTAAAAGCAGGAATTAAGGAAAAGAAGATGATAGGAAGAAACAAGAAAGGAAGGAGGGAGGGAGGGGAAGATGGGAAGGAGTAGGAAGGGGAACGAAGGAATGAGAGAGAGGGCGGAGGAAGAGAACGTGTCAGTCTAGAGGGTTTAAAGAGGGGGAGGGGGAGGGGGGAAGGGGAGGGGGGGAGGGAGTTGTACTGTCAAGGCAAATCTGCAATTTAATGAGACTTGTGATGTTTCTTTTTCCTTTTTCTTTTTTCTTTGTTGGTCTTTCGTGAGAGGTGAATATCTTTGATAGATAGTATGTATTAACGAAGGTTTTATTTCGTTTTTTATTGAGGACAGGTGCTTGCCATTACTGTCAACTTTTTCACGATCATTGTCATTATCATCAGTCATCGTCATCGTCATCATAATCATTATCGTCGTCATCATAATCATCTTCGCCATCATCATCATTGTCATCGTCATCATCACATCATCATCATCATCATTGTCATCGTCATCGTCACATTTTACGGGTTAACCGCTCCTCTCCTCCCATTGCCCGCGTGCCCCTGCCCACCGCAGCGGGGCAACGAACGGGCGGGTGCGCGCCTGTGTGGGAAGACTCGTCAGATGGGCACTCCTCGGGGCCAGATGGTGGCACCTGGCCCAGGGCGCTGATGGAGGCACCCCCGCACACCTCCGCTTGTGTGCCTAGCGATGGGCGATGCGTACCGTACCGTGGCTTGTCGTGGCGTACCGTACTTCTGCCACAGTGTAGGTTGTGTTCGCGCTCGTGGGCGGTGGTCGGTCACGTCTCTCCGTTTTTCGTTTTTCTTTTTTTTGTCTTTTGTTTTTTTTCCGGTTCGTTCCTTAGGTCTTCCTTTCTTTTTAAGATAAGCCTCTTTCTTTCTCTTTTACACGTATGCACGAATTTCCCGCGCTTCCAAACTCACATACAAACGCGCATTCAAACACTCACGCACGCACGAACTCATATGCACATACAAATATACCTACAAATGCACGTAGACATACACACAAATATACACACATATACACACACAGATGTAAAGGACCCGCAGCCTCTGAAATGGCAACTGAACCTCCCCGCGAAGATGGCACTAGTTAGGTCTATTTGCACTCCGTCCCCCACCCCTCCTCCTCCTCCTTCCCTTCCTTCCCCCCACACTCTCTCTCCACCCCCACCTTCCTTCACCGCTTCCTCATCACCATCCTCCTCGCCTCATTTTCCAACATCCCTCCCCCCATACGAACACCCCTCATGCGAACCCTCCCTCCCCCTCCCCCCCCCTCGAACCTTCCTCCCTCCCCCCTTATGCGAAAACCCTTCCCCCTTCCCCCCATGCGAAAACCCCCCTCCCCCCCCCTTCATGCCGAAACCCCTTCCCCCCCCCCCATGCGAAACCCTTCAATCCCCCTCCTCCCCTTCCCCTCCCCCTTCATCCCCTTGCGAAACCCCCCCCCCTTCCCCTCATGCGAAACCTCCTCCCCCACCCCACCCCTCATGCGAAACCCCCCTTCCATCCCCCCTTCCCCCCATGCGAAAGGCGTTTGCATGGAGTCAGAATCCGAAGCACAAATGTGACATGGGTATTTAACTCGCCGCGCCCGCTCGGTCTCAGAATATATTTTGGCAATGAGTATAAATACGTGAGTAAAAGCTGTGAGTTCAGATTGAGTGTTTCGGGCAGATGGTGGGAGATGAAGGGAAATGCACGCAGATGGGAAAATAAACAAATTAGGGAATTGATTACTGGGTTAATGAAAAGAGGAAATGTTTGTCACTCTTGTGTGTGTGGATATATATATATATATATAATATATAATATATAATAGTTATATATATATAATATATATATATAGACATAAGATATATATATATTTACATATGTGTGTGTGTATATATATATATATATATATATATATATATATATATAATATATTATATATATATACATATATGCTTACATACATACATACATACATACATGCATTATTTTTATGTACATATAACGCACACACACACACACACACACACACACACACATACACACCACACACACACAGCACACACACACACACACACACACACACCACACAAACACACACACACACACACACACACGACACAACACAACATACACACCACACACAACACACACACACATACACACACACACACACACAACAATAACACACATCACACACACACACCACACACACACACAACACATCACACAACACAACACACACACACACACACACACAACACACACACACACACGCACACACGCACACACACACAGAGCCCGTGAGAGCGAAAGAAACGAAAAGAGAAATCAAAACCTTAGCTTTAGTCTTAACAATAAAGACAGAATATTGTGAGGAATAAAAGACATCTCAAGAAATATATTAAACAGCGGTTAAGTCATCGTAATAGTGAAAAAGAGAGAAAAGAAAAAGTCATTCGCGAATAAAGACGCGGATTATGTAAGCAAAGCTGAATTTTATTTAGGATTAGTCAGGGAGTGGGGGCGGGGAGGGTGGGTGGTGGGGGAGAAGGGGAAGGGCGGGGAGTGTGTAGGGGGATGGGGGACGGGGGAAGGGAGTGGGAGAAGGGGGAAGGGCGGGGGTAGTAAGTTAGGGGATAGGGGGAAGGGCTTGGGGGGGGGCGGGGGAAGGTTCTATCCCCATTTTTCGATGTTTATTATATGCTAAAGGTGTGGGGTCGCGAGGTCCCCCGTTAAAGCCTTCTTTGTGGATAGTAAATTCTTACTTTATTTTTTTTCTTTTTCTTTTTATCTGGGGGGGGGGGGGGGTTNATCATCATCATCATCATTGTCATCCTCCTCCTGTTAATCATCATCATCATCATCATCCCCATCGTCATTTTATGAATCATCAGCATCACCTTTCTTGACCTCCGCAGCTGCAGAAAATGACCCGTGCCAGATGGAGTCCGGCGCCCCAGGAACCTGCCGGGCCATCGAGTCCTGTCCTTCTGTGCTCGAGTCCTTCCGCCAGAACCGCCCCGTGCACTGTGGCTTCAGCGGCCGGATTCCGATCGTCTGCTGTCCGGAAGGTCGGTTTGTAGGGAGTGCTTTCCCGATGCTGGTATATTGGGTTCTGAGATTTATCCTGGTGTATTATGAAAACTCGTTGTATGTTGTATTTTTAGAGGAAACGTGATATTTATTGGCAGATCCGGCCGAGGCAGTGTTGGGACCTATACTGGACGTGTCTCCTCCAAAAGTCAACTTCGGTGAGTAACTGTGACGGTTTATATTTAGTTTACATGTTCATTTGGTGTGTTCAGATTTGAAGAAATATGGATTCAAGGCTATGTTCTTTTCGAGAGAGTAAGAAAAGTGCATATCAACAGTCTTCACAGATATCCTATTTTCCTTTTCCCAAAGAGGGGAGAAGCCCAGCGTCTCGTATCCAAGGTCTCCCCCATATCTCTCCCTATAGCGTCCCTTCAGTGTTAGTTTCCCCTTTGATGGATATACACTCTCGAAATGTCCTTTGTTCCGCCTTAGATTCCCTCGTGACGGTTATACACTAGTCTCACCCTTGACGGATATACACAGGTCATCCCTTTAATGGTTATATAATGGTCTCCCCTCTGACCTTTATACAATGGTTTCCCATTTGATGATTATGCACTAATCTCCCCTCTGAAGGATAAACGCCGGTCTCCCCTTTGGTGGTTATACATTAGTTTCCCCTCTAGCGGTTACCCACTGGTTTCCCCTTTGGTGGTTATACACTAGTTTCCTCTCTGGCGATTATACCATGGTTTCCCCTTTGATATACGCTGGTCTTAACTTAAATGGATATACAGTAAACTGATCACCCCCCCCCCCTTGGCGGATCTGGTGCCCCCACTGCCGAAGAAAAGACCTCGAAATATGATCTGTACCGCTGCATTAAACCTGTGCGCTTCCCCGGCAAGAGTGCGGCGTCCGGTCCCTGAAGGAAGTGTTCATCCCGCTGCCGGAGACAGTCTCCTCCAGGCGCCGGAAGAGGACGATCGTCGGCGGCGTCATCTCCGACAGGAATACGTGGCCGTGGATGGTACGTTGACTGCGGCGTCTGAGGAAAGATTGGGCGTTTATTTTATGTGTTTGTTATGCAGTGCATTTGGTGTATTATACAGGAGAATGTAAACAATAATGGTGATATAGATCAATAAACGAGGAGATTGAAGTGAGAGAAAAATATTTACATAGGATGTATTTTTCATATTTTCTTACGGCGCAATCTCGCTTTCTCTGCAATATCGTAGGCGCTGCTTGGCGAAGTGCAGGGCGACCTTACCTTCGACTGGCTGTGCGCAGGGTCTCTCATTAACGACCAGTGGGTCCTCACCGCCGCTCACTGCTTCGACAGAAAGTAATTAATGCCTTGAGGATCAGCTATTGGTTTGGAGCGCGCACACACACACACACACACACACACACACACACACACACACACACACACACACACACACACACACATGCGTACATACGCATACGCATACATATGCACAAACACACACACACATGCATGTTTACATGCATATGGCCATTTATATGTGTATGCACATGCACATACATGTATACAGACGCTAACCCAGATAGATGGAAAGGGTGACTATTTTGAATTTACTCGCATCGCGAAAACATTCCACGATAGTGTTATAGCTTGTAATATATAGACTTTTTTCTGAATTACTGTCGGGATTTATTTCAATTCAAAACCGTTATAGTAATGTGATTTGAAGAAAGGGTCAAATTTATAGAAAATGTTCACTGAAGTCGCATTCACTTTGTTCAAACACAGCAACAAATCAATCACCAAAATTTTACATCATGTCATTCCACTCACAACCCACGAAATCAAACACGGTGGAGGAAATCACTCCAGACCATATCAACTCAGCTGACCGTCAAATGAGTTCGTGGGTGAAGCAATTCTTCTAATTCCTGCGCCTTTTTCTTCAGCAATCCAAACGTGGTACGACTCGGAGAGCACGACTACTCTAGCACAGCCGACGATGCACAGCACGAGGACTTCACCGTCATAGAGAAGGTTATTTATCCAAATTACACCTTCCCTGAAGCCCACCACGACCTCGCCCTTTTGAAGTTGGATAAGAAAGTCGTCCTCAGGGTAAGTGTAATAGGACAAGACCAGTTCTTCGTTCAGTTCTTCAGTTCTTTTGGGTCTGTTGGCAGGTGATTATTGGCCAGGCAGTGTACCTTAAAAATTCTTTAGTTCTCTGTGTGTTTATAAAGATTATTCATTTCATTAGTGATATGTGGTTTCTTGTGTGATGCGATGGATATCAGAGCGTCAAGCCTTACATGTTTTGTTCTCTGGGTCACCTATGAGCCTTGTCAGTTTAGGGTAATATGACACTAGTTAAAAGCTTATCTGTGACGGCTTCCGATGCTCTGAAAACACTACGAGAATGACTCAATGTAGTATTGATATCGTGTCTCTTTCACTCTGTTCTTTCTTTGTTTGACTGCATCTCTCTCTCTCTCTCTCTCTCTCTCTCTCT